TTGTCATATTCTAGAAAGTACAATTCATTCTTTGTTCTTATACTGTTCCACCTTTTGAAATAATTTTTTCCAGCATAAAAATGCTGAGAACACGTAGTTATTTGCACAAATCTTCCTAGCCTTTATTTCTGAATTCTGACTTACTTTAAAAAAAAAAAACCCTAAACTGAGGCTAAAGAAGAATTGCACCCAATGAAAGTGGTTTTTGTCAGTCTAATTTTTTCATTCCCCAGTGCCAAAGCCTTTCAAAAGGGTTCGGAACTACACCCAAGTTTGTTTCTCATTCTAAACACATCCCAACTAAATGGGAAACATTATCAACCATCTTAACAAGAACACAAAGCTAAACCCGGTTAAACTCAAATTTTTTTTCATCCATTATACCACTTTTGCTATCAGGATTTTTCAAATAAAAGCACTCTGATAAACCTATCCTGTCAGTATAATTTACCCTGTCTGCCTACAAAGAGTCACAAGAATGGCTAATCCACATACAGTACTTCTCAGCTACTTGGGAGCTGAGGTTAATAAACTTAGTTGTTTTATATATCCCGAGGCACATAGAAAAAGAACAAACACAAAGTGGTTTCCAGTGTTTTTTATACACATACCACTTATACAAAAAAAAATTTTCAAAGAGCTGCACTGGAGTGAGCAAAATTGGGCTTACCTTGCCTTAACATAGGAAGAACTGATAAGTTTAGAGCTTCCCCATCCTGCTACCCTGGAAAAAGACAAGGTCTCACTCTTCAATTCCCATTTTATAACCAGGAGGCATATATTTTAAAAAGTTGTTTCCTCAGATTTTAACTAATAAAGTTTGTATCAAGCCTTTTCCGAGTAATTGGCTTCCATCAAAACTTACCACAAGTTAAATGAAAGAGACAAGAGTGTTATGTTGATTCTGCATTTTATCAACTGAGGAACAACAGTATCACACTTTTGGACAAGCCACTACTCACAGCACACGCCTCCCCTCAACACATACCTTCCCCCGATACACACAATTTTTTATAATCATTCTTACACAGAACTTGAAAAGCGATCCCACAAATAAAAGTTTTATCAGTAAACGGAAGGCCACTGATTTTGAAAATAGTTTGTTCTTTTGCTGTCAACCTGGCAACTTTTTAAAGGTGAAATGTGCCCTGCTTAACCGGGTACAATCTTTCCTATTCTCTTTCCAAACAATCCTTCGAGTTTGTCCACTATACTGAAGGTGAAAAAAGCGAGTGGGAGAAAACGATGTTGAAAGGGTCTAAGGTACCAAGGAACAGATTTTGAGGCTGGTTTTGAACATTCCGTGGCTACTGAGGCTGGGAGGCTTTACAGTGTCTATTGGAGAAATGTTTGGTAATCTGACGCATCAGTTTTTAGGAATGGTATACAAACAACCCCCCACAATTTAAGAGCTGTGCCGAGAATCCTTCCTCTTGGTGACACAGGATGGAGGGCACGGGACAGGAGAGCAGGGGATGCCAGGAGACGATCCGCGACATTTGTTATTGTTTATTAAGCCGAGGCAGGGACCAGGAGCGAGGTGCTCGGGGGCAGAGAAGTGGAAGGAGAAAGGTACAGAGAAGGACAAAAGATTCCTCTCCCTGCTCGAAGATACCTCTCCGGACAGACGGCGCCAGAAGCACCCCGCAGAACAGGAGGGCCAAGGCCGACGCCGGAGCGTCACCGGAGACATTTCCAGCCCCGAAATTAGCCTAGCTTTCCCTGGCCAGCCAAACATACAAAGGAGTCCCTCCTGCTGGCAGAGCTGGGGCCAATATGCCCAGCCTGCCCACCCACCCCCCCCCCCCTCCACCAAGGCAGCCAAGAGCCGCATCCGCGCACTCACCTGCCTCCGGTCGCGCCCGCGGCCGGCTCAGCCTCCGCACGGACCTCAGCCGGCTGAGAGCCCGTCCGCTCCTTTTTCCCTGCTCCGCCCTCGCCCCGCCCCCAGAGGTGGGACCGGCGGCCGCGCCGGGATCTCGAGGCGGCCTCCCTGAACTCTCGCGATCCCTTCCTCCTCGGCTTCTTGGTAGCTGGACCGGTCCGCCTCGGTTCTGACGTCATACGCACCACAGGCGGAAGTAGTTTTTTGTCGTCAACGCAGGTCTCTGGTCACTTGCCTCTTCCTGGGGAGAGCCTAACTGTTCTTAGAGGAGTTGCCTGGTCGATCATCAACTCCTGCCCAGCCCCACCTCACTGCCCAGTTACTTACTCAAAAAGGGTTTAGGCCTCTTGAAAATGGAATAGTGTGTTGCTACATTAGTCACATGTTCTAAATAGCCTTAGAGGAGCTCTGGTAGCATAGTGCCTAAGGCACTTGACTGCTAACCAGAAGGCTGGCGGTGCAAACCCACCAGCCACTCCTCGGAAGGAAGGTTGGGCGATCTACTTCCATAGTGGTACCGCTTCGGAAACCCAAGGAGGGTTCTCTATGAGTCGGATCCTACTCAACAGCAGTGAGTAATGTCTTACAGATAATGTTAGAAATACAAGGAGTCTTAGAAATAATCATCTTGGATCCACACACTTAGCAGATTAGAAAAATACAGTCAACAAAGATGGACTGAGTGACCAAGTTGCTTAGTCTAGAAGTGGTTGAGTGGGGACAAGGTGGATTCCTTGATTCCTATTTCACCATGATTCTAGACCTTAGTGATTCCGATTTGGAAAAGCCATAAAACATATGGCAGTGTACATGAAAGACATGCATAGATTATCGTGGAAAATCTAAAATAATTGATAATACTGGGCTGCTTTATCCTTAGGACTGGAGAACTATGGGGAAAATCGGTGTGTGTAGGACGACTCAGAAGGGATGACTTTGGGGAAATGATACAATTTATGTTTTGAGACAAAAGTGGTCTTTGGGCGAACCAAATAAGTCACTCCAAATTATTGGTGACAAATTTATCTTCAATCTGCATATTAGTAGTTTTATGAAAGACTCAGCTTTTATACTGTTAAGGGTTTCACAATATATGATGATGGTACTGTGCTTGCAGAAAATATCTGTCAGAAATGTCAACCTTCTCTTTCACCCACTAGCCCACTGCCATCAAATCAATTCCAACTCAGTGACCCTATAGAACAGAGTAGAACTGCCTCATAGGGTTTCCAAGGCTGTAAATCTTTATGCAAGCAGACTGCCTCAATTTTCTCCCACAGAGTGGCTGTGGGTTTGAACTGCTTTAGGTTCACTAAAAGGAGTTGACACTGCACAGAAGACTTAAGAACATGGCATCGCTTCTGTCTTAAGCCCTGTACATTCTCACATATAGCTTAGTAGTAGGAAAAGCATTTAACGTGGTAATTAGTCTGTTGGGAGAATTGGTCAAATGACAACTGCCATATAGAAGCACTAAAAAAAAAAAATTGTCACCAGGTCAATTCCACCTCAATGACCCTATAGGACAGAGTAGAACTGCCCCCATAGGGGAACAGATTGCCACAACTTTCTCCTTTGTTGCAGCTGGTGGTTTAGAACCACTGACCTTTTGGTTAGCAGCCAACTACTTAACCACTGTGCCATGAGGGCTCCTAATATACAAACAGAAGGTGGTTTAATTTTGGTCAAATATGCTTAACACCTTGAGTTTCTGTTTATGGTGATAGAAAATTTGGCAATGGGCATTGGCAATGGTTGCATAATTAGTGTAATTGGTGCCACTAAATTGTTGTTGTTGTTGTTAGGTGTCGTTGAGTCATCTCCAACTCAGAGCAACCTTACGTACAACAGAAAGAAACACTGCCCAGTCCTGTGCCAGCCTCACGATCCTTGCTATACCTGAGCCCTGTGTTGCAGCCACTGTGTCAGTCCATCTTGTTGAGGACCCCTTTTTTGTTGACCCTCCACTTTACCAAGCGTGATATCCTTCTCCAGGGAATGGCCCCTTCTGAAAACATGACCAAAGTAAGTGAGACAAAGTCTGGCCATTCTCACTTCCAAGGAGCATTGTGGCTGCACTCCTTCCAGGACAGATTTGTTACCTCTTTTAGCAGTCAGTCCATGGTACTTTCAGTATTCTTCGCCAGCACCACAAATCCAAAGCATCGACTCTTCTTTGATTTTCCTTATTCATTGTCCAGCTCTCACATGCATATGAGGCAATTGAAAATACCATGGCTTGGGTTAGGCACACCTTAGTCCTCAAAGAGACATCTTTGCTCTTCAGCACTTGAAAGACATCCTTTGCAGCAGATTTGCCCAATGCAATACGTTGTCTGATGTCTTCACTGCTGCTTCTATTGGTGTTTATTGTAGACCCAAGTAATATAAAGTCTTTGACAACTTTAATCTTTTCTCCATTTATCATGATAATGCTTATTGGTCCACTTGTGAGGATTTTTGTTTTCTTTATGTTCAGGCATAATCCATACTACTATTTATCAGTAAGTGCTTCAAGTCATCCTGACTTTCAGCAAGCAAAGTTGTGTTGTCTGCGTATTGCAGGTTGTTAATGAGCCTTCCTCCAGTCCTGATGCCATGTTCTTCTTCATGTGGTCCAGCTTCTCGGATTATTTGCTCAGCATACAGATTGAATAAGTATGGTGAAAGGATACACCACTGACACACTCCCTTCCTGATTTTAAACCATGCAGTTATCTCCTTGTTCGTTCAAATGACAGCCTCCTGGTGTATGTACAGGTTCCTCGTGAATACAATTAAGTGTTCTGGAATTCCCATTCTTCTCCATGTTATCCATAATTTTTATGCTTCACACAATCGAATACTTTTGCATAGTCAATAAAACATAAGTAAATATCTTTCTGGTATTCTTTGCTTTCACCCAAGATCCATCTGATATCAACAATGATATTCCTGGTTCTGAATCCATCCTTTTCTGAATGCAGATTGCATTTCTGGAAGTTCTCTACAAATATACTGCTGCAACTGTTTTTGAATTATCTTCAGTAAGATTTTATTTGTGTGTGATATTAATGATATTGTTTGATTATTTCTACGTTCTAGGGATCACCTTTCTTTGGAGTGGGTACAGATATGGATGTCTTCCAGTCAATTGGCCAGGTAAATTATACCTATAAAAAATGTTGAGTTGGCAAGTGTTTTTTGTGTGTATGTATATATGTATATTTACAACAATTTTAAAAATATGCTTGACAGAGGTTTTTCTCTCTCCCAAAATATAAAGATTAGGATACATAATGTTATGCCAATAGATTAAGAAAGAAGAGAGAGAAAGAACAGGTGCTTTGCATTCCCTTGTACAATTGTCTTGATAGCGAGCTATTAAATTTTTTTTCCTATGGGAATAGGTGGAAAGTTGATGAGGTAAATTGAATGGACTTTTCCAGTTCACTAAGAATGCTTGACTCTTGGCTCCTCTTCACACACCCAACTTCAAAGGGTAGAACAAACAAGCTGAATGCAATTGAGTTCATAAAACTCAAAATACTGAATTCTAACTAGGAAAAAAAGAGAGAGAGAGCAAACCTCACCCTGTTGTTGTATTTGTCATTGTTGCTTTTGTGATTTATGGAGACCTTATGCCACTCTGTGGGAGAAAGAAGTGACATTCAGCTCCCATAAAGATTATAGCAATAGAAACCCTATGGGGCAGTTCTACTCTATCCAGTAGGGTCACTATGAGTTGTAATTGACCCAACAGCAATGGGTTAGGTTTGGTTTTGGTTAATTACAGACTAGAACTGCTTCAGTAGGGTTTTCTTGGCTGTAATCTTTATGGAGACAGATAGCCAGGTCTGTTTCTTCCACAATGCTGCTGGGTAGGTTCAAAGGCCCAACCTTTTGGTTACCAGCTAAGCTCAAACCATTAGTACCACCTAGGGAACTTAAGTTTGTTTGCTTGAAAACAATGTTCTACAAAATTCAGGAGCATTTCATTGGATGATTTAATCATACACATGACAGTCCATTCAGAACTCTCACCAAACTGCTTTCTGCAAAGCACTTTATAAACCTGGAAACAATGACTTCTAATTGATCCTCCTTTAATATTTAACTGACCTGACTAAACTGAAAACTATTTATTACCTAGGTTTTAAAGTATTCCAAGGTTTAGGTCATTTCTCTCCTAAAATGAGAAACATCAATATAAATTAGAAGCTTGATGAAAAGCATTAAGAAAGGGTGAAAAATATATTACATCTCTGTCTTTGCATAATGTTTGTAAGACTTATAGTACAAGAATCTGGTCTGTTACAAGCTGTATGACTTGGCACAGGTCAGAAAAACTCTCTGAAGTCCTATTATCTGCAAAATGGCAAGAATGTTAACATCATTAGTTGCTGCAAAAACGAATATCATTATGTTTGGTGAAAGCACTTTGTGAATTGTAAAATAACATTGCCATAATAGAAAGAATACCAGCTCGAAGATAGAAAGACCTCAGTTTGAATAGCTGTTTTTTAGGATTATTGTGATAGTTAAATGAAATTAAGTAAAATAATAAAAATTAAGCACCTCATATAGTACCAAGCATATATTCACGCTCAATTCAAGATAGCTATTATTATTACCAGAGTCCCTGTGTGGTACAAATGGTTAGCAAACTTAGTTGCTAACTGATAGGTTGGAGGTTTGAGTCCACACACAGGTACCTTGGCACAAAGGCCTGGGAGTCTACTTCTGAAAAAGCAGTCACTGAAAACCCTATGGAGCACAGTCTACTTTAACACATGTGAGGTTACCACAAGTTGGAGTTAAATTCCATGACAACTGTTTCATTATTACTATTTATTAATATAATAATTACTGATATAGCAAAAACATACTTAAAAATAGAACTTCTTTTTCTTCTTTCAACTAAAAATTAAATAGATCCTCTGCATCTAAGGAACTTTTTTGACAATATTTACATCTATGATAAGAGAAGAAGACCCTGTCAGACCTTTCTTGCTTTGATTCTGATTTACTATCTATTAATTTTTATAAATTTCTAATATTAACAAAGACAAAGACACAGTTGATTTCCATCTGTGAAATGGAAAATATAATGTATAGGTGTAACTACTAGAC